TCTTAATATCTCCTTCCATCATACCCTTTCCTACATACAATAAGTAGTTAGATACAAACTAGTACACACCAGACATGTTTCTGCAAACCGCAGAAAATTCAATCTATCAACATACATAAATGTTTGCAATTTATTCACTACTAAAACTAAATCAGTGGAAACAATTTCATCCAAACCATCTTTGGTGCTAAAAATATTAAAATGAAAATATCTTAATCTTATATATATATATATAAGGAGGGATTCATTTACTCCAGTTCGTTTAGTAACTCATGTTCTACATCAAATTTCAACGATACAACCGTTCAATTTAAAGTTCTTAATACACAGATCAAATATGCAAATTTTTAGAAAATTTAAAAATCATTTGATACTTCGTTTCATTAATTCAAATCAATGTATAAAATAATTTTATGATTATCCATCAATCTGAATTAATGAAACAAAGTATCAAATAATTTTCAAATTTTCTAAAAATTTGTAGATCTGATCTATGTATTAAGTACTTTAAATTGAACGATTGGATCGTTTAAATTTGATGTAGAACATGAGTTATTGAACAAAATAAGTTTAGGTAGACTTACTCCTAGAGTAAACGGATCCCTTATATATATATATATATATTTATTACTGTAAACACATTTACTTTTAACAATTACATGACATAATTAAGAGATATAATTGGTTGCTAGTGTAAAAAATTTTTACACTAGCAGTGAATAGATGATTAACTCTCTCTCTCTCTCTCTATATATATATATATATATATATATATATAAAGCTATGCATTGTTTGGTGATTTTTAAGAGTTTTAATTACAATTATATTGTTACCACCACATCGCTACCAATGTATCATCTCTATCATTGTTATTGATTCTATCACCATCATTGTCATCATTTTGAAAACGATAATAGTGATAATAATAATAATAACGATAATGATTATAATGTTTGTGATAATAACAACAATAGTGATAACGATAACAATGGTAATAACAATAATAATTTTCATAATTATTATGACAACGATTATAATAAAAATAATTATGATAATGATAGTATGTAATAGTTTTATTAGTAGTCTTTTAATTTAAGTGTTATTTTAGTTATTCTCATATAAATAAGTGTCATTACTATAATTCTATTCTATTTATATAAAAAGAAATGTTAGTAATGCACTTTCTGATATACTCTTTTATACACACTTTCTCTGATTGGTTAAAATTTAAATTAAACACAAAGCTTTGTGAATCGCACATCTTATTTAATGATTATCTCTTTTGATTTTATAGTTTTCAATAAATCTATCTAATGAAAGTGAATGTATTAAAAGTGTGTTGTTAGCCTTCCTCTTATATGTATAAAAGAGTTTAATGTGTACATTAAGTGAAAATGTTACACTTTCAACCATTTGAAAATTATGTATGTTTGGTATGATTTGTAAGTAGTGATTATCGAAGTCAACAAAGTTCTAATACTTGATTTATAATTATTTTGATGGTGTAAAAATACTTTAAACCATTAATATATATTTTATTTTTTCAATAATTTTTTATAATAAATATCATTAATATATATATATATATATATATATATATATATAATTTTAATAAATTTTCTTTATTTAATAACTCATGTTTCACATTAATATTGTGAAAATTATTATTTGAATAATATATCTTTATTATAATTTGTAACAATTTATTAATTATATTATTAATACAAAATATTCATGATTAATTATCATAATTAATTTCCGTCAATTTTATTAATTTATTTTCTTGTTTGAATTTTTTTTTTAATTAGGTCATGTTATCGGTAACAATTTTTATTTCTATAACAATTTAAGAAAACAGAAACGAGATTTTTAAGTATTATACAAACGATTCAGTTCACAGAAATTAAAATTATTAATTTGATGTGTTTATTAGAAACTAAAAAAAAAAAGGTCATCTGCTTCATTTTATTGTTCAGTCAACGTTGATATAGTTATCCCAATTTCATTAAACATGGAGCAGCCCAAAACCCAATTGACCCAAACACCCATTCATTGCAAGTACCACAACAAATCCACCATCGCACGCAGCAACACGATTCAAGGCAAGCGAAAACAGGTTCCTATTATCTTTTCGAATTCCCAAAAATCTGTGCAATTTTTAATTTCTGATATTTCCCTCAAAAATTGATTGTGTTATGCATGAGGTTGCAAATTGCTTCAGATGCTTGTGCCCTAAGCCCTATATCAACAAGAAACTCTAGAGTTCCTTTGCTAAAAACAATTCACCTCTTTCAAATTGAAATTCAGGGGAAGACGGTAATTTCACCTTCATTTTCATCAGCTATGTTTATTATGTTCTGTTTTGAACTGCTTGTTGATGGTTGTAAAAGGTAGCGATAGTAATTGTCTGAAATCTGTGTCGTAAGAAAATTTGATTATCTTAATTTCTGATTTGAACTCATTTTTTTAATTATTTTATTGAAACTCTTGCTAGTCGTCTCAGTCATTAAATTTGGTTCTCTTCCTTTCACTCATTATATCACGGTTTTAAATATGGTGTTTTCTCATAAATAAGGTTTGATGTCAAGTAAATATGTTTTGCAAATTGCAACGCAATAGCTGCAAAGGCTCTTTTACACTTTTACATGTGGATGTGCATTTCGGAAGATTGAGTGGTTTGTGTTGAATTGCTCTTTTTCTTCTTATGTTAATTGTCTCTGCTCTCTGGTACTTCAGTGAAATAAATTATCAATGGCTATGGGAAAACAAACGGTGTGGTTTATGAGTAGAATCGTTTGTTGACTAAACATTTGTTCTTAGTCTTCCTATATGACTTTTAGATTGATTGAGCATATGAAACTGTCAGTTTTTCTCTTAGACAGTTCTACTTTTGCGCGGTACACCAGTTTTGACTTGTGCCGGTTTACATGAAGATAAAGATTCTTGATTTTATTTGGAATCAGTTTTTGAGTGCTTTGCTTAAGTTATGATTGAAAGAAAAAAAAAGTTTGTTCTTAATTTTTCCAAACTGTTTATGACTCTTCTTGATTGGGCCTAAGAGAATATATTCCACGGCTAAAAAAACAACTGAACCACAATTTCCCAAATTATTGGAAATTAGTCCCTATATCTTTAGTTATAACTTATAAACTGTAATTCCTAGTTTACAGGTACCACGTAAATTAATATGATAATCATAAATGTCATGCCCTCGTACTGCTGTACTTGAATTCTATGCTTAATCACTATTCTTGAAATCTTTGGGAAAAGTATGTATTCACTTTAGAACCTGTGATCACAGTTCATCATGTCTAATTGTTTTCTGTAATTTATGAATGGCTGTCATCACTTAGAATACGGGTTTAAGAAACACTTTTAGGAAATTTTTTCTTAATGAATATATGTTTGCTTAAGCTAAATGTACCACATTTTTAAAAATTGGGTGAGAATCTTTTGGCTGATCTTACATGGAAATACTTCCATTAGGTTTTCTAGAAATATAGGAGATGATACAACCTACCTGAGTTTTAATTCAAAATTCTCTTCAGTTTCAGTTCCATTTATTCTTCCTAGTAACTTTGAAGAAACTATTGTGCCAAAAAGAATCAAGGAATTTAATTTTAGTCAATAATAGCTAAATGAAGGATTAATATTCCCCTAGTGTTAGTGAATGGTGTGACCTGCTAGGATCTTTAACAGTTCATCCCTTGTACAATATCAATATGGCGTATCACCAAAAATAGAATTGAAAGCAGATCTGTTATATAGCTATATTCTATAAAATGGTTCAAACGTTGGAATTGGATAGATGATGTATTTTCCTCTGAATTTTGGCTTTTCTGAAGGGAAAAGTAAGGATTTATAACCATTGATTAAAAACTCAATGAAACTTGATAAAATATGTGCATATATGTAACAAACTATGAAGTCGTTAAAATTTACTCCTTCGATTTTTTAACCATCTGTTATTACCCTGAATTTTTTCTCCCTAAACTGCACCCCCTCACTTTAGAGGAGTCTAATTCTCTGTTCTTTAAAGTGATTTTTCAACCTCACCAGTTATCACAACGAGTGGCCTATGGAAAGTCTTTAAACTGACTCCTAAGTTCCTTATGGTCACATAATTGAATTATGGCTCTAAATTAGAGTTTGTGTAGGGTTTTTTTGTTCTCAAATGTACTGTTGATTATAATATTCTATTACATTTTAAATGTTGAAAACTTAAAATTGTGCCTTTTATTATATCTATTTTTTTGAATTTGTTAGATTGAAGTGATAGTTTTTTTTTTCTTATGCAGCACCGTCTTCCCTTGACTAGACCCTCAATCTTCAACAACCTGCCAATTAACTGTAAGTCTTTTCATCCCTTCTGCTTTGCAGTGTTAAAGTTTCTGGTTCTGTTTCTCAGCACCCGTATGTTCTAAATCTAATGTGGTCATTTTTTATTATTTGGGCTAAAATTTTAGGAGCAAAGAACTCAGGAAGAGATATGGCTACTAGACGTGTTCGTTACACCCCTCTGGCTACAGACGAGGATGATTATATTGGTGATAGGAATAGACCTTTTGACCCACGATTTGATTATACACCAAAAGCCTTGGATAAAGTTCCCTGGAAATCCATTGTCCTTGCACTGTTCCTGTTATTCCTTGGTACAGGTCTTCTGTTTCTTTCATACTTTATCTTCACTGGTCATATGGGGGGAGAACGGTCTCAAGCATATGGCCTTTTAGCCTTAGGGTTCCTTAGCTTTCTCCCAGGTATGTTGGATTCTCTAAATGTCATATTCATTGTTTATGTATGTTAAGTACTCTAGTTTAATTAATAGAAGAACAAGGAAACAATTTGTTAGACTTCTGATATGCTTTTAGATGAATTTGTTGATACTTATGTATTAAGAACTATAAATATATTTTTCACTCCAACTGCTTTTAGCTTTACAATGAGAAGCACATGAAGCATGTCAATTTTGTTAATGTTCAAATGAATTTGGTCAAATTGGATAGTGGGTGCACGTGCACTTGTTAGCAGAAAAATAATTCATAAATCATAAACTATGTAGCCTCCTTGTATTTATCATATATCAACCTTTACAATGAATCATTAGAAAATGTTCCGAAGAAATGGGACACACCAAGAATCTAAATAATCGTTCCATAGAAAGCTGTCACTTGGCAATGAAAGAGTAAGTTACATACTATGTTTGAACTAAAATTGCAAATAATATGCATACAATTGTGGATTCATATCACTTGTCCTCATCGCCGTGATTTTTTACTTGTTTTATTTGTTCTCTACAGCTTTCAAATTTTTTATTTTTTATTTTTCTATCATAGATGTTTCTTCAATAACAGAATAATTGTTAGTTTGTATCTACTATGCCTATGCAGACATAAACATATCTGGCATGCGGATCTTTTGCTGGATAATCTTGCTAAATAATTTTATTGATTTGAATACAGGCTTTTATGAGACTCGAATTGCATATTATGCATGGCGGGGTGCCAAAGGGTACCGCTTTTCTGCCATCCCTGATTATTAGAGCATTGGAGCTGCTATACCTTGAAAACTTAGTCATGATCAAATTTGATTGCAACTTTGTGTGCTTCAATGTAGCATGTATTAGGCCATATTATATTTTGCCTATGTACCTATTTTGTTCGCTTAAAGAGATTACATGAAAATATAGATTGCAGGTCTGCACGCAGATCCTTCTCATGTGCTCCTAAATTACAATCCCTTACAAACTATAGGTTTAGCTAAATTATAATCTCATAAAAATCTCTTACAATCATGTGCCCCATTGAAAAGTTCAACAAATAACTAAATATTCGTTATCATAGGTGAATTTTTAAAAACCTAACTTTTAAATTTTCGGTTTCCACTATCGTATTAAAATAACAATCACTTTCAATCAATCATTTTTTATAACTAGCCAGGTCTTGGATAAATATAGAACGTATGGTGGCCTCATTTTGGTCGGGGATTCGATTAGATGAGAGTATTAAGATAATAAGTTTTTTTTGTAATCATTATGATTTAAGTTTCTGTGGTGGGCCTACAGTGATCATCCATTTCTGTTCACCCTTTCTTATTTATTTGATTATTTTTATTATTTATTTATACTGTTATTATTATTTTCATGTTGTTATTTTTTTATTTGATTTGGGCTGGCATAGACTCAAACTTTTTTGGATTTTGTTAAATACACTTCCCTTCATTAATAACACACCAGTTTCTCCCCCCAAAATAATATTTAATTTTACTTTTGTTTTCTAATTTTTGGACTTCACAAACCTCCCTTCTGGATGTATAAAAAAACATACTTTCTGGAATAGTAAATTTAATGATTTGGAAAGTATTTTTTAAAATTATAATTTTTTTATATTAAACAAGAAAAGAACTATCCTCTCTCTTCTCTTTATCAACCTAGCAAAAAAAAAGTTACTTCCTCTTTTTTCCATTAAATTTTTTTTTTCTTAACCAAACATAATTTTTAACCTTTTATTCTTCTCTGAACCAAATAGAAGCAAGCATAGTTGAAAAATAAATGGACTTAAATAAGGATTATAAACTGTAAATAGCTAAAAGCTACATATGATTTAAGTATTCCACGAATAATGTTATGAATATTAAGGAATTCAGCTCGATTGATGGAGTATTGTAAGTAAGTAATTGTAAATTTTCTCATATCAATGTCAATTCATGCATTAAAAACTTTTAGTTCAACGATTAGATCGTTAAAATTTGATGTAGAATATAAGTTATTGAGTATAGTAAGTATTGATAAATTTACTCTTGGAGTTATTGAGGAGAGAGAGAAGGGATTCACTTATTCCAAGAGTAAGTTTACCTAAACTTACTTCACATAATAACTTATGTTCTACATCAAATTTTAACGATTAAATCGTTGAATTAAAAATTCTTAATACATAAATCAAGTTTGCAAAGTTTTAAAAAATTTAAAATGATTTGGTATACTTTGTTTCATTAATTCAAATCAACGTAACAAATACTTATATGATTAACCATCAATTTGAATTAATAAAATTGAGTATTAAATAATTTTTCAAACTTTTTAAAAATTTGTAGACTTGATCTTTACATTAAAAATTTTTAATTTAACATTTGAATCATTAAAACTTAATGTATAAAATGAGTTATTAAGTGAAGTAAGTATAGGTAAATTTATTCTTAGATTAAATGAATTTCTCCTCATATATATATAGGGGAATGCTAATATACTCCTATCTATTTTTTAGCGGGAGTATGTTAGCAACCTACACCAAAACTTTAGGACAAAAAAACTACTCATTTTTTTTATTTGGTTAATTCGTACAAAGGATATTATAGTAACTTAATTTAATTTTAAAAGAAAATAAAATATTTTCTCTCTCTTATTAACTTCATTTACTAAGTTATTTCTTTTTTCTATTAATTAATTTTTATTTGTTCAGAGAAAGAGAGGGGGAGACATCATGAGATATGAGAGAGAAATGAGTTAAAGAAAGAATTTAATAGGAGAGAGATAAATAAGTTAGAGAAAGAATTTAATAAGAAAGAGAAATGGGTTAAGAAGGAATTTAATAGGAGAGAGAAATGACTCAGTGAAAGAAATTAATAAGAGAGAGAAAATATTTTATTTTTCATTTAAAATTAAATTAAATTACTATTATATCATTTATACAAATTAACCAAATCAAAAGAAATGAGTGATTTTTTTGTCCTAAAAATTTGGTATAGGTTGCTAACATACTCCCACCTATTTTTAGTGGGAGTATATTAGCATTCCCCATATATATATATATAAGGATTAAATTATCCCTAGAGTAACTCTTGATAAAGTTATTTTGTCCAATAACACATGATATATGTTAAATTTCAAAGATATAGTTGTTAAATTAAAAGTTCTTAAAATATAGATCAAGTTTACAAATTTTTAAAAATTCTGAAAATTATTTAATACTATGTTTCGTCAATTCAAATTCTTAGATAATCATAAAAATAATTTATACATTGATTTGACTTTATATAATGAAGTATCACATGTTTTCAAAAAATTTAAATATATAAAAGAGGAATCCACTTACTCCACTCAATTATTCATATTTTACATCAAATTTCAACGATATAACTATTGAATTAAATTTTCTTAATGCATAAATCAAGTATGTAAACTTTTAAAAATTTAAAAACTATTTGATACTTTGTTATATAAATTCAAATCAATATATAAAATATTTTTATGATTATCCATCAATTTGAATTAATGAAATGAGTATTAAATAGTTTTAAATTTTTTTAAAAATTTACAGACTTAATTTATATATTAAAATTTTTAATTTAATAATTAAATCATTAAATTTTAATATAAAATAAAAATTATTAAACTAAATAAATTTAAATAGAATTACTTTCGGAATGAATTAATCCGTCATTATATACGGACAAATTTTTACACTTATACAAATAGTATAATATATAAGGCATTATATCCTTATAATCAATACAAAAATGAAATTGCATCATTAAAGATTATTTTTTATAAAAGTATATATATATATATAATAAACAAATTATTTTGCTGATATAATAAATTACAAAAATTATAATATTTCTATTAACAAAATTTTCTTGAAATTTTTCATATTTCTTGAAATTGCACATAATCTAGTCTTATTATTCACCTATTTTAATATTAATTTTTTTAATACGCTTGATTGCATAATTATGATAAGATGGGTGCATTCATGGTAATGAGATGTTACATTAATGTTGGTATGAATTATACGCAATTCAGTCTCACGTACGTATAATTAATGTAGTTTCTTACATTACGTGGGATACTTTTCTTTTAATAGATTTCTTTTTCTTTTTTTTTTGATATTTCTAATCTTCTGACAGCCATATATCTATATCCAGCACTTTACAGTTGCTTCTAATTTAATCTTACATATTATAAATTTAAAGCCACCAATTATGAGGAGCCTAAATAAACGAAGGCTGAAAGTGATGTATATAAGCTGATAGGACTGGTCCATAACTATTCTAAATATGTCATAACAAACTTGTTTCTCTTCCTTTTATTTACTGTAACCAATAATCATAACAACGTTCAAATAATAGACCAGCATTAGCATAATTCCTCTCTTAATCATTCATTTTACCAAACCAGATAGATGCGAGCCACGCGTTTACCTACGAACCTTTTTCTGTTTCTCTCTCTGCATAACGTAGGAAACTCTTTCGATCTTTTCCATATGAATAGAATATAATATTCTCATGTTTTACGATTCGTCCAAAATATATTATAGAGAAGAAGCATCCACTGTATCCCAAATGTCACCCTCCCCAAAGACAATTCCAGTATCTGTATCCTCATTACTCATATAATATAACGATGATAAGCAATAGAAAATAGATTTAATCACTAGATAGAGACGGGAAAGAGGCAGAAATATTGCATTAATGTGTATTATTGAGCCCTCGCCACGTCCACCTTACCCCGTTCTTGAATATTAAAACAAAATTATATAAATTTAATTACTAAAAATAAGTGAATTTAAATTTATTTTATTATATTTAATATTATTATTTTTACTATAAGTCTTATAACTATTTTATGTGTACTTATCATTCTATTTATTATTCGTGACATATCTTATTCACATATATATGTGAATGTGAGTATTTTTTATGTTCCTAGATTTACAGATATAGAAGATGTAATGATCTAATAGATCATTACACTTAATATAGCATAGTTAATATATAACAAAAAAAATATAAAATATTCAACTACACTAGAATTCTTTTGTAACAATCACTTAAATATTCATTTAATAGATATAAATATAGGATACCACAAATAGTGTATACCAATTTAATTGAAAAACATAAAGTCTCTTATGGGGTTACATATATACAATATACACTATTGAATACAAATAATCATATTGTCTATCAAACACTTCTATACAACAATACTACATTAGAGTAGTATATTTAAAGTAGGTCATCTCCAACATGACCCTCATCCTCTCACTAACCAACTATCCAAATTATTCATATCTTACTCTTATACTAAATATGATCATTGCAATCAAATCATAAGGAAAGTCTAGTATTTATTTTAAGACAAAACAACTTAGGTATGAGTCTACCATGACTTTAGCATGCATATCTAAGTCTCATATAGGATTAACTCGTCGACTACCCTTCAAATATCACGCACCTTTCTAACAATCAATTAAGGGTTTTAACCATCGATTTTATACCTTACTCAGTTGGTCACTTCATACACATATGATTCGACATGGCCTTCATATGGTTCCACATTGGTCGTTTTATAATCAATATGACTTAACTTGTTTCCCATATTGTCCCTCATAAAACATAGAAGAGACAATTTAAAAATAACTTTCAATTTAGGAGCCAACCTACTCACTAAAGAGTTTACAACTTTGGACTCTCGGAGCATCATAACTTATATCCATACAATGAGATATTTTAATTTTAAAACAACTTTACTCTCCTCTATATATTTTTTTTTATGTATCTCATCACTAAATGCTTATACAACTTAATATCTTAGTCAACCAACAACTTTCAACTTATTCAAACTCTTATTCATAAGCAACTTGCAACTAAATCAACTTCAAATATTATTATATATCATCCTAGATCAATGCTTAATGAACTATAATCATTTGACATCAATTAT